TCACGTTTGGCTTAGATATAACTCTCTAATGTAGCTTGATATTAATACAACTGGTTATGCTATCAGTGGAGATTTAGAAAAAATAACACCAAAATCTAAGGCATGTGAACATATCCAGCCTTTCTATCTAAAATATATATTAATCTCAATACCAGTTGCCTTTAAAACAGATCTGCTATAACACAGCAAACATGAACCAAGAGAATAACCAGCTTCTCATATAGCTTACCTGTCACCTCTAGCACAGCGCTCCAAGATGTCTCCCCACTTGAACTTGTGGCCACGCACGTGTAAGTCCCAGTGTCGGATATCTAGTCATACAAAAATAGTTAAGAACATTTTTGACACACCTTCAACATCATGTGGCACAATCCTCTTAAGTTTTTTAAAGATAATTATTAATGTAAAATCAGAAGGACTTAGCCTACATTGTACACCAGATATTAAATGATTATTTAATGGTGGCTTACTTTTAGAGATATAATAACGTTACTTGCTCTATTTTCTCTCCCCACACCCATTATACTAATTCACATATTGTTAATGTCACTGATACAGGGTATGGGTATTACAAAATGGTTTATTTAAAACATACCAATAATGTTTTTTTTAATGTATGAAGGAAGATCCAGGTGAATTCCAGTAAACATATAACATAATATACCCATGACTGAAATTGTAATTTAAAGTGTGTCTAAATTATTATGAAATGGGTACAGATTTCAACTTTAGTGAAGATTAAGCTTCAGTTTCATAATCTTTGTCTTGATTTAGTTTCCAATCCCATCTGGGTTGTCTGACACTCTTGCATTCTTCTGTTGTAGAGAAAGTATTACTGTAGTAAGGGTCTTTTTAGATGAGGCTTTAAAATAAGTTCTGTCTAATTGGTATGGATATTAAGGTCCTCATACATAACATTTTTTAGCTGAGTCAGTAGCCTAGGCAAATTTCCCTCCCCTTTCCACAGTTATGAAGAGTGGTATGAGGTTATTAATGAACAGTCAGCCGCCTTCCACACCAGAGGGTTTGCATTTCAGTTGTGCTGTATGGTTGGAGCTTGAGAAGTGTTTTGGGGATCTTTTGGGATAAAATGTGTTATAGTAACATAAATGATTATCTCTGTATCTTATCAGATATGCAGAATTTATATGGGGGAAATTATCTGTGATCAAATTGACACTCACTGAATTATTTTCCTCTGCTTTTCATATTTTTTCCGTCACACTGACTGATTTCCCCTGATGTTTTGTTATTTCTCACTTTGAAGGCTAAGGGAAGCTGTGAATTGAGAGCTGATAATTGTTCCGGTGAGATCTACTGAGATCAATGGAATATCACAGTTGGCCAACAGCATGGTGTGTACTGAGAAGCCCCCAACCTGCGAGGTGTAAAACATGCCAGTCTATAAATGGAAATGGAGTGGGAAGAGTGCTGACTCTGATGATAGGAGAGAAGAATTATATTCACTGGGGGGAAGATTGCACTGGAAAATCTCAGTGGATTTAGGATTAAATCCAAAAATGGTTTATTGGACTGTAAGGGGATATAGTATGTGTGTGCTCTGCTCTATATTAAATTGGAACTGAAATCAATGTGCTCATAGCTTGATTTTGGCTGTGGAGGCAAATCGGCAAGATGCTCTTTACAATATTTGCTGCTCTATTTTTTTAATTGATTTTTGAAGTTTATCATGTTTGAATTGTGATGACACATTTTGATTCAGACACATTATTGCTGCAGTATACAATTGTTATTGACAGGGCAGGACAGGTAATTAGTGATGTAACTGTTTAGTAAATTTGCCTGAATTTTAAGACCTGAATTTTAAGAATATGCAGTTGCCGTGAGTCAGAAAGAGCCTCTGAAATATTCAAAACGTAATCCAGCTGCTGGGAAAAAACAAAGGCACTTGATGACAGATAGCCTTATCAGCAGAGACTGGGAGCAATATAGCATTCTCTGCTATACTGTTCTACTGTGTGTTTTCTAAGCTGTTGTTTGGGAAAAGGTAACTTTGTAATGTGGTAGTCGAATGCAGTTTTTTAACTATTTGTGCATCACTGTGGCAAAGTGGAATATGACACTGGACACAGTGAGTATACTTAGAAAGCAAATACTGTATATAAAGAATGCTGAGGATATTCCACTTCTTGTAGCCCATGAAGTTAACTACCAGCTATGCGGATTACATGTGTGCCTACTGAATTGTGGATCTGCGTGATAACACTGTTTGCTTTTTAATCTTTTGTGATATTAAACACACACAAAAAGGAGAAATATCAAGACAGTCAATGGCAATTCATTGTTTTTCAACATCTCATACCAACTCAGTAATGTTGGGGGAAGGGTTTGGCTGGACAGGGGATAACTGTTCTATGGGAAGGGTAGACCCCCCCACCACTGTCATAGAGACCAAAACCTAACCTATGCATAAGTTTGAATGAACCACCTATGGCTGTGGACAGTCAGTTACTTTTAAGGGTACGTCTACACTTAGTCCCTAGTTCGAGCTAGGGATGCAAATGTAGCCGACCGAAATTGCTAATGAAACAGGGATTTAAATAGCACGCGCTTCATTAGCATGATTTCGCCCGTGTGTTATTCCGCTGATTCGAAGCGAAAGTGCGTGCAGGGACGCATTAGTTCGAACCAAATCCCTTGGTTCGAACTAATGTTGCTCCTCAAATAATTAATTCATAAAGTTTGCTGCTTCCAGCTTAAAGAAATTTATGGTGTCGAGTCTTTCTTCCTGGTGTGTCTGATTCAAATAACAGACGTTACTGCATTGAGAAAGCTTGTGGAGCAAATTTTTGAGTCTCTAATGAAAATGGGCCACTCAAGGATCAATAAAACCTCCATGTCTTTAAAAGCCACACTTAATGATGGATTTTCCTTTACCCTGACAGTATTTCTTTTCTCTTTTACAGATCATATACCTCTAACAAAGACATTAATGTGCTGGCACGATTCAACAAGTATTTCATTGTTTGCATGACTGCATGGAGGCAGGCTTCCCATGAGCTTCTGCCTCATGGACACTCCACAGAAGCCCATCATCAATGCCCTGCGAGTTTGTTTGAAATCACCAAGCTCCCACCTTTAATTGCTACTTTCGAACACTACTGGGGAATCTTGACTATTCAGCCGCACTCTTTAATCCAGCTCTACAGTAAAAATGCATTAACCTTCATGGCCCAAGACCGCCTTTAGCCCAGAGAGGGAGGATAAATTGTTTACCCAAGGAAAGCTGGCATACATTTTTTAATAAATTCCATTTTGTTCCAAGGAGGTTAACAATTCATTTACGATCACTGATGAGATGTTGGCAGAAAGCTAAACTGCTGCTCATTTCTTGTCCTTTATAGTCTTGCTGATTATTTTTTCCCCTGATAAAACTAAGTGCAAACATTAGTGCTGATGAAATTAAATATTTCCAGAAATTATTTCTAAACAACTACTGAAGAATACAACTATATTCACCTTTCTACATTTTACTATATTTTATACATATTTGGAAATGTTTAATGTATATCTCTATGCTTTATATATTATACATAAATACATGAATCTACACAATGGTTGTCATTAGCAAGGTAACATTTAACAACAAGGGACAATGTGGTGGTAGATGAGATATTGCAGATTTAATTTATACTCTAAATAAGACACATCAGATATCAATGTGTTAAATTGTTTGCAATGCTTCCTTTTGAATGGCAACCACTCTGTATGTGAGTGTAGACATATCAAAGAATCAGTCCTCCATACCTTATCTGCACTGCAGCACAGAGCAGCCAGAAAGCTGCTCTAAACGAGTGACTGAGTACGCTATGCAACCTGGCTCCCGTCACTTCCCATTAAGGGCCTCCCCTGAGTCAGGTAGGACAGGTTGAAGGATACAGTACCTACTCAGACCACTGCAGCTGGCATAAGTTAAATGCACCTCATGTATCTGATCCAGAATTGAGCCTGTGGGCAAACTACATTTTGCCACTTCATTCAGAGTTATTTGTTTTAATTTTTTACTTTTGTTTTCTTATAAAGCCTTGTGACCAGGAGATTTTGAACACCATCCTGCTTTCCCTAAGTGGGACATATCATTGATTTTAATCTGACCATCTGCATGTGTAATGATCATAGGCATGACTATAGGCTGCAGGAATAGACCCAATTATACAAGAAAACACTTTACTAATGTAATACTAAATCCCATTTGGAAAATAAATGTGCTTCAAATATGGTGTGTTTTTTTTCTTTTTAGATAGAAATTCATTTAAAACGTTTGATAAGAAATGATCAAGGCACCAGAATTTCATTTAAGATCAAATTTCACATCTCATTTTGTCTCTGCCCTATATGAATTCCACCCTCCACTGCTCTATAGAAATGTTGCACCATATCCGCCTTTAATATCTCTGGCAGAGGTAGGATGTGAATTTTGCTCAATGAAAACCTGATGCTGGACGATATAAGGCATTTGATTTTCAGATACTTTCAAACTGTACTGGCCAGACAGTCCTCCATGCCCTGTGCCAAAGAGGGGGGAACACTGCCCTAACCATGCAGCTAGGGAAATCCCAGTACATATAGAACATAACCAGCACAGCCAGCTCCAGGGCACCTCTCTCTCTTAGTCCCTGGTGTAGTAGATCTGGTAAGGGAGTAAGTAGCCAAAGCCCATCTGCAGTCTAGGAGTACCTGATTATGGTAACAGCTCCTTGGAGACAAATTATCAGCTGGAACAAATGAGGCTGCTCCAATTTGAAACAATGAATGAACTGAAACCCAGTTTCAGGGTCAGACGAGATGGAGATGGTGACCAGTTCCCTGTACCCATCTCCTGCACAGAATGCAGCTTAGCCAGCCCTCACTTCTGTCTGAATCCCAATATGTTACCTGAAACCCTCTACAACAGTGTTTCTAAACTTTTTAAGACTCGAGGAACACCAAACAATAATTTTTTTATGAGGAATACCAAGGAGTTTTTTTATTGAGCAAAAAATAAACAAACAAACAAAAAAAGCAGAGGGAGCCTGCGGAAAAGTTATTGAGAAAAAAATGGTCAGGGGGGAGGGGAGTTATTGAGCCCCTTCCCCCAAAAAACGTTGCCTGACCTTTTAAGGGCAGCCATTTTGAACTCTGTTGTTCTCCACAGCACACCAAATGGACCTTTAATCTCTCTGGCAAAGGTAGGATGTGAATTTTGCTCAATGAAAACCTGACGCTAGACGATATTATTCTAAATGGAGGGACACACGTCAACTTTGAAGGCAAGAATGACTAACCACTGGATGGGAGTTCCTCAGCAGCTTAGTAATGATCCAGTCCTAACAAAGATTCATTTGTATTAGCACTTACCCGGAGAGTTTTAATCTGCAAAGTCCCCTGCTCCTGTATTGATATTCTAGGATCTCTTCCCAGGAATGTGAATCCTTCCTTTAACCAGCTAATAACAGGAAGAGGGTCGCCAGTAGCTTTACACTTCAGCAAAGCTGTCCCATCTACTGCCAATGTCTGATTGGCTGGACCTTGTAAAATGATGGGTGGAGGCCTATCTGTCAAAACTAAATGACAACACAACAATTATTCAAGTGCTCACGTTTAGTAGTTATTATTTCTGTAACAGAATAAAAATATTAACAAAATCATGTATAATATCCAGGGAAATTGAAAACATTACTTTCTGCAAGACCCATTATGAATGTAAGATGTTTAAAAGGGGTGTGCTTAGCTACAATGAAATGGCACCTAGATTTGAGCTGGCTAATAAGAAACATTGAAAGATTATCATGCTTACGTGAGCATGGGTATGTCTACACTGCAAAAAAATAGCAGGGTTGACTTGGCCTTGTTGGGCTTAGGACCACCCTCTTCAGGGAGGAACAGTTCAGATTTAACCAAACTGTTTACTTATCAAATTGTTTCATCACCTTTTAAAATCATGAACTCTGATATTTTTCTCCCTAATATTTTATATTTGCATGCTTGAAATCAGGGAGGCTGACAGAAATGCCAGGCCTCTTGGCAAGGTGAAGAGGCCGGCTCTGCGCCCTGGAAAAGCCAGGGCTACGGCAGCCAGCTCTCAGTGCCACCTGGAGCGTGCTCGGCCAGGCCTTTCCCAATCCTCAGAGCTACCTGGAGTGCATCGTGTGGTGCTCTGGTGGCAATTTAAAGGGCCCAGAGCTCCCTGCTGCCACTGTCGCTACTGCAGGTGCAGGGTGGTCTGCAACCCAGGCCCTTTGAAATCACCAGGACCTGGGGCAACTGCCTTCTTTGTCTCCCCTCCCCACTCCCCATCAGTGAGCTTGCTTGAAATATTTCATTAAGGACTCTGTAACTAGTGAGTCCTTGGTTGCGTCAAAGCCTTATTCCACTACTTAGTGCAGTATCTTGAAGATGAGGTAAATGATCGTGTTAACTTTTCTTGTAAGAATAATTGTTATAAATAATTCTGTTGAAATTATTCACTATGCCATGTTTGGCCCATTGAAATACCTTCAGCAAAAATATATTAAGGTGAATCCTAGGCCACATAAGTTTTCATTTACATTTAATGTGGAGCAATGTGTCTTCACTTTTCTAGGTGAGTGGATATAGATTGAAAGAATGAAAACATATAATTGCTTAGGTTGATAACTATACATCTTTAGTTATTTGTAGCAACTCATTGCTTTTTTTATGGGTAGCAATATAGGTATTTTAAAAGCTTATTGTTTTTTAGATATTGCTCTTTGGCATCTAATTAGTTTTTTTTACTGCCCAAATGAGTAGCTCATAATCCTTTAAATGGGTTTGATCAATAAAGTAATTGAAAGTCTCCTGGCTAGAAGGAATCTTCATTTCCAAGAGTGTTATGGGTGAAAAACTACTACAGGTTTCCATGACACTAAGGCTAAAGGTTAAATGAACACTTAGGATTTTCAGTGATCTGTGAACAACTGTATTGTTTTCACCACTATGACTTGTAAATCTTCTGTAAAATGTTTTAAAATTCTCCTAGTTTTGTCAGTTATTTAAATATATAAACAGGATTCCCATGACAGAGGTCTCTCAGTGAATTAGTAATCAACACTTGAGCAGATCACTGGAAAGATGTTTGTATATCAGAGTCTATCTATCTCAAAGATGGACAAATATTGTAAAACATCCATGAATTGTTGCTCTAATTTTTAGGTGAATTTTTTTTATCCAAACACAAACCCTTTCGTGCTCATTTCCATTGAAACTGAATTTAAAAGTAGTATCTGCAACATTCATATATGCATGTAATCTGGTGATGGAAACAATATGATGTGCTCTATTTGACCAGTCACAACTGAGCAATACAACTTGAATTTCAAAGAGAGACAGCTGGGTACTCACAGAGAACTATTTGTGACTAATCCCTTGAGTTAAAAAAATACAGTGGACAAATGATCAATCAATAAATATGAACAATGAGTAGATTGGAGGGCGTTGAGATTTACTTCTCAATATTCTGTGCAGAAAAAGAGGCTAAATTTATGGAATAAATTACTAACTGTGAATTCTTCTCTTTATAACAGAGAGAAAGAGAGTACTAAATGGAAGCTTTTAGTTTGTACTTATTTGTTGTACTAAGACTGTGTACCTTTCCTTTTGAAAGATTGCAAAGACTGCCTCCTTTTTAAAAAAATGATTTTACTTTTCCAGATGTGATTAGGCACTGGATTTATGTGATGATCTTTCAAGACAGTACAAGATCTGAATTTCAAATATACTGAAAGCTCTTAGCACAGTCCATAATCAGCAAAATTATCACTCAACTCAGCACATTTCATCACAGCAAGTAATCTTTTCTCATAGGAACACTTGAGTTAAAAATATTTCTAGTAAAGACTTCTAAGTGCAAAAATGTAACAACTGAAACACTGCTATATATGGTATAATTAAGCACTTGTTTTTCTGCACATGACATATGTTTTCATTCTGTATTGGAATTTCAATTGAATCCAAATTACTCTGGGATCAAACAAAAATGTGTTCAAAATGAAAATGATGGCTCGCCACTATTATTAAATCATTAACCAAACTGAAAAATTCTGGGCTATGAAATAAAACTGGAATCACCAGCCAAAAACTGGAAAGCCAATACTTAAATATATGGCTAATATTTTAAATGTTTTAATTTTAATATATTTTTAAAACTTGAAATTAGATTTCTCTATTCATAATATACTAACTTCTATAACTTACACTCAGAGTTAGCTGACAACGAATATTTAGATATTTATGCCTAATTCTCTATCTAAAGGCAATGTAAAATATTATCTGTAATACAATGGTGCTTTCACAATTTCAGTTACAGTATGCACTTTTTGCACATTCCTCGTGACCGTTATCCACCGCTCAACTCAATAATGTATTCATATTTCCATAAAATAATCATGTAAGTATATTACAGTGACTGTCCTAACTATCAGGTTCTGGGAGATATTTGAAGAATGCAGATTTTTCATTCCTTTAGTCATACAATCACGATTGAATGCTTCCTTAAGGAATGTAGAATGCTAAGTACCTTTGAATGTAATTAGTTCAAGCTGAGTTTGCTTTTTGCCATCGACACCTTAATGAGCTTTTCTGTTGACTGGGTGCATAAGTTGATGCACATGCAGAAGAGGTCAATGATGATTTTTTTTCACACACAGAAATAAAAAAAAGATTAAGCTAGACCAGAGGCCTTGTCTGTCTAAAGGAAGAATTTCTCATCACTGATATCCTTGAACCCGACTTGCTCCTTTCAGCCCCAGTTGCAGTAAATCTCTGCAGCAACAGCAGGTGCAACCATTAACAGCTCAATGTCCTATCAGCCAATGTTTGTGTGTTCTATTTATTCCAATCACAGCCACAGCATTGAATCAGGCTGTGCCATGGACAGATATTAAAAAATACTGCCATTCCATTAATTTTAAATGACCTTTTAATCTACATGTAAATTTGAATTGTATGAAAATGCATCATTTTGTCACAGAGAGTAAGAGAAAAGGAAGACTTAAAGAGGTCACAGAGCGAAGGTGAGGCTTTAATCTCCCAGAAACTACTTTAAGGAAATGCACCATGTGCTTGTAAAGATGCAAGGATAAGGAAGAAATTATCTGTCCTTGTCATAAAAATATAGACAGCTTTTGGAAAACAACAAAAAAAGGCATCAAATTCATGTTCAAACCTCTACAGTGTGTGTCTGAACCTCTCTACCTGTCACTTGTGATGAATATGCTTTTGTGAAGAGCCAGATTATTCAGAATTAGACATCTTTTCAAACTTTCATGATGTAGGCAGGTCTCTGAGGGAGCTGTAATAGTGAATCTGTGCATGTAACAACAGTTTTAACAGTAAAAATGAGTCAAAGTCTGTCAGGAGCTATTTAATGAGTCAGTTAAGATAGGGAATAATAAGGCCTGGAAATGCGATGACCTGGTAGGCAAATCAGGATTTCAGCTAAATTTTCTGTAGGAATGTAAAGGACCAATTCTGCCTTAGATCCATAAACAGAACTCACACTGACACCAACAGGATTCATGGGATCAAACTGAAGGAGATATATGCACTAATTAGGAAAGAATATATTTCAACTATTTTTCTAAAACAAAGTGGTGAAATGGCTAGTGTCAAGTCACAATGTGTTGTAGTATTTGTCAATCTGTCAGTCTGACTCCCATCATGTCAGTATCTGAGCACACACATTAATTATCCTTAAAACAGTCCTATGAGGATAGGGAAGTATTACAGGCCCCTGTTTACAAATGGGGATTTGAGAAAGAGAGAGACTAAAGGCCAGGGTCCTTAGCTGATGTGCACAGACATGGCTCCATAGATTTAAATGGAGTTATGCCAGTTTACATGAGCTGATGATATGTCCCTCAGTGACTACCCTAAGGTAACAAAGTCTGTTGCACAGCTGGGAACTGAACCTAGTATTCCTAAATTTGAACTCTATACATTATAAAACCATCCATTGCACATTTTGGATTAGAACACTGACATCTTAGATTTCAAGTTCCAGTGTATTGAACAGTATCCCTTAACACTAATTATATTCTGAGTTGGTGTGTCCCTCCTTTTTACTGACTGTTTTAAACATGTACCAACTTTCAAATAATATGCAAACCTGTATCCATGTTTTTGTGTTACTGAAGAAGAATCTGCACTGCATTGTTTATAATCTACAGAAATCTTTATGTTTGACAAGACAGGACCTAATATGTCTATATTTACAAATTATATTTTAGCTTTTTCAGTGCAATGGTTTTAAAAAAAACAATAGTCATCCTCATTTCTTACCATCAGTAACTTCCAGCTGAGCCTTTGCTAAAATGCTCCCAGCAACCGTCAGTGCCTGACAGATGTAGTAGCCCGCATCAGATCGCTGAATGTTGGTAATAGTGAGGTCGCCTGTTGGTGATACTGAATACCTACTATTGGGTTGGAGAGGCTGGTTTGGAAAGAGTAGATTCTGTAAAGACAATTCAAATTACATTAGTGCAAAGTACAAGAACACTGCTTTTCCCTTACACAAGAGCACAATAATTTATTTTACAAGCATTACATACAAACAGAAAAGAGCATGACTATTTATATACAGGTTGAACTTCACTAGTCTGGCACCCTCGGGACTTGACTGGTGCCAAAACAGAGAATTTGCTGAACCACGGGAGGTCAGTATTGTCTAGAAGCATTAACAACATTTCTACAGCTTACTGTGCTCTTAGAAGACATTTAGGGACAAATAAGAGCTTAATAATTGCACTGAATAATGAGAGCCAGGACTGGTGGCTGTAAACAAACTTTATGGGACTGCGGGAAACTTGGCCACGCCCAGTCCTTTTTTAGTGACGGTACGCCCCAGGACGACGTACCAGCACCTATTTTCCCTCCATAACTTAAATGAATTCCCCTTGAGTGTACCGACACCTCTTTTCCTGGGGTGACTGGGCTTCCAATGGAAGCCCGCTTGGGATACGTGGCTCTTAAAGGGGCTGTAACAGCATTTCGGCCCCTGCCGCGGGTTTTTTTCTCAACAACTTTCCTCCTCCCCCTCCCCCCCCAGTTTCGGCTTTTTTGTTTTGGTTTGGTTTTTTTGCTCAACAACTTCCCCCTGGAATACTTACAAAAAAAGCACTGGCCATACCCATGACAAGTGAACATCCGGCTAACTAAAAGCATGCTGGACCAGAGAGTGCTGGACTCTAGAGATTCAACCTGTAGTAGCAAAGGTATACATAGGTCTTGCTGTTTGTTTTTCAGACACAAAATAAAGCAATGTTCCCTGCCTTGAGAAGCTTGTAGTTTAAGTTAGATATGGCATCACTGAAAAAAAGACAACATACAATTGTGTTGCTGGTAGGAGTTGAGGTATGCAGAATGTTTTCAACAAAAATGTGGATGATTTCTTCTTTCATATGTATTTTGTTGTTACTTCTGAATTTGTTTCATGTGTACCTTACTAACTCTGAAATTCACTTTAAAAACATTCATAGATGGGCATTAGGTTAGGAGTAGATAACACTAGAGTGCACATTAGAAAGCTACCTAAAAGGAGTGAATTGTGAGTAGAGATGTGAAAGAGGAAAATGAGATTTTTTGGCAATTAATACTTGATCCTGGCAAAAGTAGCAGCTTGAACAAGGCATAGAAGCAGAAATGGCAAGAGAGGCTATAAAGAAAGAGGGGCTGGCAGTGCATGGGACATGAAAGAAGGAATAGAAGGAAATTAAACCTGAGACATAGACAAGAAGCAGAGCAACATGGAACTTTGAAGGCGGGATAAGGAGTATAAATTTGATGTGAAAATTGGCAAGGAGAGAATAGTTTTGAGGATAGGGTAGTACATTTAGAATGGGGGAGTTGTTTCAGCTGATACCCTTTTAATGGAAAAAGATGAGAATTGGGGAAAGTAGAGTAGAGTAGAGAATTCGGTAATCAATGCAAAAAAATCATGCAAAAAGATAATCAATGCTGGAACCAGGGCTTTAGCACCTGGGGGCAAATTTTAGAGAGAAAAGTGATGACAGCTGACAATGGCCTTGATGAGAAGAAAAAAGGGATGAGAAGAGTGGAGAGACAGCACTCAGGGAAAGACAAATTAATGAAACTGGCAGGGGGGATGGAAAAGAGGAATAAGGGAGAGGATTAGGAGTTAGGATGAGAGGTTAGTATGTAAGGGGGGGAAACTGCCTGAATTAACTAACTCAACATAATGATGGAACCATGATTTATGAACTAGTTTAAGTAAAACACACTGAACCAATTCCTATAAAAATATTACAATTTTTAACACTAGTGGCGTATCCAAGCATGGGAGGAAAATTAATGTAAGCTATTAATTATTAAGTGGTTCTTAACCCTATTTAATCATGCCATTCTTCTTTGTGTCTGTAGTTGCTATGTTCCTTCTCCTGCCCTCCAAATACATATACTGCTGCCTCACTCTGAAGGGAGTGTGGTGAGCAGAGACTGCTGGCTGAGCATCCAGTTATGAAGGCCAAGAGCAGCACAGATGTCAGAGTGGCACTTTTCACAGCAGACTTACCATTCCATCACCAATCTTAACATCTGTGCTGTGCTGCCATCCTAGGGCTGAGAGCCGGAGTCCCACGACATCCAGACGAGGATTGAAGGCAGGAAGGGAGGAAGGCACTGGGGAGCAAGCTGTTGCCCTCAGAGGGGTGGGGCTCCAAATGTCTCCTGTGTCCTATCCCTGTACCTCCTGGCTTGCCCAATCCCAGACAGAGTTATCTGCTTTAGGGTGAGGTAATTTTGTTTAGCTCTCTAATAATGGTGGCTTGAAAAACTTCAGATTTTAAAGTTTGCCGACTGGTACTAAGCTGAAAATCAAAACTTGCAGGATGGTCTTCAGTGTTGAGTGTTCACTATAACTGTTCCAAAAGGATTCAAGGGGAGTTTTATCATTCACTTTTAGGGGTGCAAAGTTAGGCTAATGGTAGATGCTTTTGGGAAAACTTGCAGCCCCTGCATCACATCATTTTGTTGGCAAACCCCTCAATGTAGTCGCAAATGTGCCAACAGAAGAGTGCTTTTGTTGGCAGAGCCACCTCTTGCATATGATGAATGGCGTGGAGGGGTTCACACTCTAGGGCTGGAGCACCCACTGTCAGCCACCCACTCACCCACCCACCAGAACCTTCCCATCCCTCCAGCGCCTCCTGCCCATGATCAGGCCCCATTGATCAACCCTTCTTCCCCCCTCCCAGTGCTTACTGCCTGCCACAGATTAGATGCTTTGCGGAATCAGAGAGTGCTGTAGGGGAAGGGAAAGGAGTGAGAACACGGTACACCTGGAGAGGTGGCAGAACTATGCAGGGAAGAGGCAGGGTAGGAGTGCAGGAAGAGTGGTGGAGGGGGAAGGGTGGTAGAACAAGGGTAAAGACATGGGGGAAGGGAGAGGGGTAGAGCCAGGGGGCACCTATTATTAGAAACTTGGCACCTATTATATACCTAAGTTCCCTGTGAGCTGTGTGGCCACACGACTGCACAGCCCTTTAATGAGCCCCATGCAGAGGTTCAGAGTTCCTATGCAGGTAAGGAGCAGAGCTGACAGGCAAGAGGAGGGGGCATCTTGCTGAGCAGCAGCTTCAAAGGGAGCTGCCTGCTTCAGATAAAGGAGCTCCCAGATCAGACAAAGAGGGGTGATGGGAAGGAGGGAATAGTGACTGGGAGGGAGAGTTGTAGGGAAGAGGCATTTGGCGAGAGGAGGTGGCAGAGGGAGTAACTGGCTAGGAGGGGAGGGGATGAACGTTTGGAGAATCCCAGAGGGGATGAACGTTTGGAGAATCCCATCTGACCAAGGAGAGAGAAAGAGAAGGGCAGAGGCAGAAACCCAGCACTTCTCCTCAAGCCTCCTGGGCTTGGAAGGGGGTTGGGAAGAAGCTGACTGCATGAGATAGGTGGGGGAAAGTGGGAGTGGGTGGGTGCTGGCATTGGGGTGAGGTGGAAGTGAATAGTACGTTTGTTCTGTTTCTCCTGGAGTGAGGTAGGGGAGGGGAAAAGAGTTTGTGCTGTGTCCTGTCTCCCAGGTAGGCTGCTGGTGCTTGCAAGTTTGAGAAGTGGGATTTTATCCCAGCCCCCAGCTGGACTTGGGGAAGCAAATTACACAGGGATAAGAGGGGGAAAGAGGAGGTGCTGGCATTAGGGTGAGGTGGAGGCAAGAGGGAGTTTGCTTGAGGTGTCCCTACACTTGCTGCAGTCCTCTCTGTTTGTCTGGGTTGCAGGGAGAGGGGAATCATGCAGGGTGTGTGTATGCCAGGACATAGGCATGCTTACATTTCAAACAAAGTTTACAGAGGTGTTAATGGCTTAAGGAAAGAAAAAGATTCTTTTAACAGAATTTTTGGAGTGTTGCAGATATCTAAAACTCTTATCTTAATGATTTTTTAAAAAATCCTGTGTTTCTAATTAATACGTGGTATATTGCATTGCATTAAGGCATGATTTTTGCTACATGGTAGAGTTCTGGCTCTTATGAGTTAGAAGTAGCAGTACTGGGTGTGATGCTAGTTTGTACAATCAAACCTTATTTGCAAGCTCTTTGAAACATGCATCTGTCTACAAACCTTGAAGCCATGTGTTAACTTGTTCTGGGCCTTCTACTGTTTGAGTTGGAGACACACACAAGGTGAAAGTTTCAAACCAGGAGAACTTTTATCTGTTTTTAGAAGTCTCTGTTTCACTTGTTCTTGTATAGCATGGATCCTAAACATTCTCCAGAGAAACTACATAAGCCTTAGTGAATTCCTTTTACTCTCCTTTCCAGTGTCAGTAAATATTAGTATTTACAAGGAGAGCACGACTATTTCTAGTTGATTCATAGATTTGTTTAGCATCTTAAGGCAGAGCTATGTGTGGATAATACATATTTTTGGTATGTTTACTGGCTTGAGTTGTTAGAAAGGATGATATGTGTACGCCAAGGGTAGTGTTAATTTTCTTTTCTTATTTGATTTCATATTAAGTATCACAAACATTGCTCCTTATTAACTGTTCCCTGTTTTAATATATTTTCTTCCGCACCTATAGACTTTGTGTGTGTGTATATCTATAATCTATATCTATATCTATATCTATATCTTATTTTGTTTATATGGTGCACATCCATACATTACTTCAATATTGGTGTTGCTCATAAGAAATTTCAACCTGCCCAAAAGAAAAATCAACCTGCCCTAAAGATGACCCTGTCTGTTGGCTTAGCTAATGCTATTTGGGGAGGTGATGTAACAATGGCAGCAAAACTTTCTTCCTCCTTGGCTACGTCTACACTGGCATGATTTTCCGAAAATGCTTTTAATGGAAAAGTTTTCCGTTAAAAGCATTTTTGGAAAATCGCGTCTAGATTAGCAGGATGCTTTTCCGCAAAAGCACTTTTAGCGGAAAAGTGTTCGTGGCCAATCTAGACTCGCTTTTCCACAAAAAAGCCCCGATCTCCATTTTCACGAT